TTACAGGAATCTTCCCTCGATGGTTGACCATTGTGCGAGGCCAGGTACTCTGCGCGATCCTGGCACCCTTACTTGTCCCATGGAAGATTATCGCCTCGGCGACTGCGTTCTTGACGTTCCTCGGAAGTTACACTGTGTTTCTGATGCCGATCTGCGCGTGCATGATTGTCGACTACTGGCTCGTTCGAAAGGGTAATTTGCATGTTCCCTCGTTGTACACGGCTGCATCCGAAAGCCCGTACTCGTACTACAAAGGCTGGAATATGCGCATGCTGGCTGCCTGGACAGCTGGGGTTGCGTTCACGGTCCATGGCGTCGCGGGGTCTTTGGATGCTGATTCTGTCGCCGAGGCTAGCAAGAATATGTACAAGCTTGGCTTTCTACTATCTCTGTTCATGGGCGGCTTGGTTTATTACAGCTTGTGCCTCATCTGGCCGGTGAAAATGGTGCCGAGAGGCGCAGGGAGGGAGCTGGGGTTCGAAGCGTTGGCAGCGAATGAGGGTTTCTTCGACGACGAGAATATAGGAACTATCACGGGCGTACTGGAAGGTGAAGAAGTGCATGGGACGCAGCACGGCGCTGCGGATAGCAAAGAGAGCAAGGTGTGAAACCAAGAGCTTCCCGGAACGCTGCATTGATTGTCAATCGCCGAAGCATAACAGATATGCGCCTGTTGTCTGTTGATTCCATGACATAGCTGTGAGTAAGGGTGTTAGCCAAGTGTAACGTGACGTTGCGGGGCCTGCAACTGCGTGCATGCAGGTGTGGCTGGCCGACAAGCTTGGACCATGCGCAACGTCACTGCCGCTGCCGGGAGAGCGTGGGAGCTTCACTATGTCCAAGGCAAACATCTCCACATCCACGCTTGGTGCTGCCTGACTCTGCTCGTTGTACTACAGGCGCTGCCATTGTTCCCCCCAGTGAGCGCGACGACTACACCACCACCGACATGTGGGACGACGAGGACAACAATCCGTATGGATCCTTTGCCCGCCATGACTCCAACACGTCTGATATTCCTGGGCTAGCGTCGCCTGCTGCCCGTAAGGCTTCTACCTACTGTCTGAAGCAATCGCCAGCATCGTTAGCTGACATGACCAAGTGCCGTACCGCCCCGCGACGCCGCCCTCGGAGGCTTCGTCGCCCGCACAAGAATCGCCCGAGTATGTCTCTCAGCGGGACATGAGCGACGTCGACTACAACGAGCAGGACCAAGACCACGCAGACCCAAAAGCGTCTAAGAAGGGCGGGTACGATGCGCGCGTGGAACAATGGCTGTACGAGCACCCCGAGCAACTCGTTTTGATCACGAGCGCGGGCAAGGACGGTGTGAACTACATCCAGTACACCATCAACTGCGGTGTATGTTAGATAGGCTGCTGGGGGAGCCGCGCAACTGACACATGGATAGGGCCTCGAAGTAAAGCGCAGATACTCTGAATTCGCATCACTGCGCGCCGAATTGGTCAGACTTCACCCCACGCTCATCGTACCTCCGATCCCCGAGAAGCATACCATGGCCGACTACGCCGCCAAGCCGACAAAGGCGAAGGAGGATGCTGGCATAATAGAGCTGCGGAAGCGCATGCTGGCTGTCTTCCTTAATAGGTGCAGGAAGATGCAGGATATACTACAAGATGGCGTCTTCTGGCGATTTCTCGATCCCTACACAAGTTGGGTAGGCTTGTTGCTCTTGCAGATACCAAACCCTTCAACTGACTTGCTCCTGTAGGCAGACGTACTCAACAGCCCGCCTGTTTCCAATGTCCCCAAACAGATCCTCAAAGCGCCTCCGCTCGATCCCGCGAACCCTTCCCAAGCCCACAGCTACCTTCCAGTCCCCTCGTCTTCCGCAAAATTGAAGTCGGGCGGTACCATATCCAGCTCGGGTACTCCTGTCTCACCAGCCAACAATGCAGCCCTACCTTCAGCAGCCGCGCATACGACACCGGGTCCTGCCATTTTCGGTCGTTTCCCTCCTGAGACGCGCAACATGTCGGAAGAGGAGTTGGACCCATACTTTGTTAGCTTCGAGAACTCATCTAAAGACCTAGAGCACCTGCTGCAAGGACCAATGGAGAAAGTCAACAGACGACTGCTCATGCACCTAGGCAATTGGGGAGAGGACATGGCAGATCTGGGCGCTCGATTCAATGCCTTTTCGCTATCTGAACAGACGCAGTCCCTCGCTGCAGCCATTGAAAAGACGGGACAAGCTGTCGACTCTACGTACATTGCGACGACCGAACTCTCTTCGTCTCTCAGCGCAGGCTTCTCGGAGCCTATGCGTGAGAGCGCGCAATTTGCCGGCATCGTACGTTCTACCCTGAGATATCGAGTGCTCAAGCGGATACAGGAGGACATGACAAAGGACGAACTTGAGAAGAAGCGCAATCTACTCGAATCCCTCGAACGCAGTGAAGCAGAATCGAAACGATTAGAACAACATCTGAGCGGCGTGGGCCATCAACCTGCCCGAAGTCGCGCTGCATCCAACAGCTCACACCGAAGCAGCGGTGAGGCGGAGCAACAGCGTAGATCGGACGAGGATAGGGCATCGATTGACTCCGACTTCCCACCCACACACGGCGACACACCATCCAGCGCACAAGGCGCACCTGATAATCAATCACCGCCTAGTAGCCCGCACAAGAAGACTGCAAGTGGGAATTTCGTCACCAACAAGCTGTTTGGGTCCATTACACATGCTTTCAGGGGTATGGCAGACGTAGATCCTGAGAAGACACGAAGAGATCAGATTGGCAAGACACGGGATAGTATGGTACAGGTAGGCTTGATATGCTATGTGTCAAGACAATTAGAGATGCTGACCAACACGCAGCTCGAACAAGCGCTGACTGTCGCCGAGAAAGATACCAAAGACGCAAGTGCGGGTGTGATGAAGGACCTGCGACGATTCCAGAGCGAAAAGGAGGACGATTTACGCCGTTACATGGTATGTCTTGGTCTTTACCTAGTGCTCGTGATTACCACTAAGAACAACTGCAGATGGAGTTCGCTCAATGTCATATCGATTGGGCGAAACGAAACAAGGCGGCCTGGGAAGAAGCTAAGGCCGAAGTTGAGAACATTGCGCCACAACCCTCAGAAGAATACCCCAGGAGATCTGAGGACTTTGAAGCCCGAGAGCAGTGATGGCGCGTGCCATGGTCTGTTTGTGTACACCTGGAGATGCATCCTTTGAGCGATTGCGCACCTGTATTGAATATGGCGAGTAGTAATTCAAAGTATAACGACAGTCGTTCGCTTCACCATGCACTACTCAGAACTACAACGACCGATCGTCAGTCTCCTCGTTCCCTTCTGCTTCATAGTCTTCAATATGTTCTATTACTGCCTTACATTGCCAAAACATTATCTGTCCACGGATCCCCCAACCACGCCTTCTTCCTCTTCTACACGCCTTCAACAATTGCGAACTCGGCAACGAGATTCAGGGACACAGGTCGCTTCGGATGTTGGATAGTATGCTGCTCATAGATTTGAGGGTTTGGCAAAGGACAGGGATGAGGACTTGAAAGAAAACACGACAGCGATCATGAGTAAGAAGGCATTACGGATAAGGGGTGGAGGAAGGCCAGGGATAAAAATGGTTGGTCTGCAAGGATTGGATCAAACAGAATGGGTGATGCGCATGCAGCGAGGACGAGGGTCTGACTGGTGGCTAGTGACTGTGCAGGAAATAGAGTAACGTCATCTCCTCATGCCCGCAGGCCATGACACGGGTTCGAAAGTCTAAAGGAGGTCATCTGTATCCGTTCGTGGTACACATGATATGGGCGGTGGCCGGGGTAAAGCATGTGGAAATCGGGTGAGTGGCAAAATAGTTGGGGGATCGTAAAGTCCATGATATGCATTGATGGTTAGCAGACAATTTATCTCAAACGCCATCCGTCTTGTCGTTCCCATCCGCAAGAGTTTTACAGGCGCTCGTAGATATACATGCCGATGCCCGCAGAAGCAACTCCGTATCCACCGTGAGGAAGAACCAGGCGAACCAGTAGTTGTAGAGAAACCGCCACTCGACTCCAGCCATGACCTTCGTAGTCATCATCAGTGTGCACCCGCTTATTTCTTGTCCTTCTTCGCACCGCCCTTGGACTTGGCTGTGCCCCGGAACTCCTTCATCCTGTTCTTGCGCTGCTTGCCTGTTGTCCAGTCAGTATGTGTCATGTACCGACATGCATATCCATCGCCATAATTGCGGCACTATGTATAGACGCAGGGAAGACGTACGCTGCTGCCTGCTGGCCTTCTCGACCTTGGTGGCCATGCCGTAGCGTACTAGCCTGTAGCGGGGCTCGAACTTCTTCATGGCCTCGGCGCTGTCGTAGATAAGAGCGAAACCGGTGCTCTTGCCGCCACCAAAGTGTGTCTTGAAACCGAATACGGAGACATCGTCCTTCTTGGCCTTGTACAGCTCACCAGCTTGCCACGGAGTTCGTCCTTGGAAACGTTTGCGCGGTTGGGGTGAAGGACATCGCTGTAGTATTCCCGTCAGACTCAATCCTCCGCAACTGTGTGCTCGGCGGTTCCTGCACTTACACGACCATCTGACGACGTCCAAGGAGGGGGTTGCGGATGAACTTGCGCGTGCGCAGAGTAACTTGAGAGTCGGCCATGTTGGGAAGATTCGACCTGCAACGCGACGATTAGACGTGAGTCACAAGTGCAAAAGAACGGGCTTGGGTCTGCAATGGACGTACTGGACAGAGATCGATCTTGCTGTTGTCGATTACCTGTGGTTAGCTGGCGGCAAGATAGAGATGTCGAATTTGCTGTGTCGTGTCGGCGGTCGGCAGTGCGCCTCGCTTAGTCTGCCAAGGCGCCCCGCTGCAAAGTTACGTAAGCAGATGCGTGCTTGGATGTTCTTCCCCCTCGTTAAAATCCGAATATACAACCAAGCTGCTCGACCAGGGAGGCTGAGACACATTGGGAATTTTCGAGCTTACGTGTCGAACGAAATCGTTGTCGCCTCCATGGACGCTCCATCCAATCTATCGCAGCTACGCATCTTGCAACGCCAGTATTTCCAGCTGGTCGAACCACACCAATTGAGATGGCCAGATGATGCGATACTAAAAGCGCCAAACGTACAGGCGTGGCTCTTCCACAACCTATTCGATGCGGCGAATATCACATCACTACCCCCGGGCCGCTATCGGTTGAGGATTCTCAAACAACTTGTCGCAAAACTCGAGAGGTCGATCACTGACCCGGAGGAGGATGTATGGTCTCCTATCTCCTCGCCATGGCTTTACCTTTGCTGTAGCCCAGCCATATATCAAGTCATAATAATCATCCTTCAATGGCAAAGATTCCTTGCAGCACTTGCTGACCTTTGTCTTCGTTTCTTCTAGAGGAAATCTCAGATGACATTATGGAAGCGATGACTATTCTGCTTGTTGCTGATCTGCCCCTCCGAAGCCGACGCAGCTCAGCAAAAAGCATTCGTGACGTACTCTTACCCCGATCATTTACTCGATGATAGCGTAACGCACGAACGTACGGTAACGCTACTTGAAGCGCGATCCGTCATCTCCTCGTCCGGGACGACTGGTCTCAGAACTTGGGAAGCCGCGTTGCTACTCGGGTCGCATCTCGCGTCCGAGGCTGGCCGACCGTTTGTATCCGGGAAGAGAGTATTTGAACTTGGCGCAGGAACTGGCATGCTGTCCATTCTTTGCGCGAAGCACTTGGGGGCGGCCGGCGTGGTTGCTACAGATGGCGACGAGGCTGTTGTGGATGCCATCAAAACAAATCTTTTTCTCAATGGACTTGATGTCGATGACACGTCCCGGATTCAAGTGCGGACAGCGCTGAGGTGGGGCCATCCCATTGACGCAGCGGCTTTTTCCGAAGACTATGGCATGAGCGTACCAGATGTTGTAGTGGGAGCAGACGTGGTAAGCCATCGTCATTGCAGCCTCGTGAAGACGTGGATCTGACAACGTCGCAGACATACGACAAGTCCGTCATTCCGCGATTGGTCTCGACCCTGGGAGAATTCTTCGACCTGAACCCAGCGCTCGAAGCTTTGATATCTGCGACGATTCGCAACGAACAAACGTTCGAGACCTGAACGCGTGTAGTGGGTCTCTCCGCGTCTTGTTTTCCTGGCCATGTTACGACATCGCGGCGAGTTGTTGCTAACTTTTGTGGGGTAGGGCGGAACCGTTTCAGATTCGAGCAGGTT